TCTTTCCCTTTACATTTTAACTATGTAGCAATGAATAGGCTCCTCTGCCACTGTTTATTCTTCATTAAGAATATGGAAAAAAAACCCGTCACAGGCAGAGAAAAGATGAAGAACACAAACGTCACATCTGGGAAGACTGATACAACTAACTTATAAAAGTCCACTCTTTACAAAAATATACATTTTAGGTTGACACTGAAAAACAACTGAAAACAAAACCTGCCATCTTCACTCCTTCTCCCCCATTCAATAACAAAGGATTTATTTGTTGCTATGGAATCATTCCACTGCATGAGACACCCTCCATACAAAAATCAAAGGGTGAAGGATGCTCAGCTCCATTAGTTGTTTTATTATTCAGAAGCCAACTGTAGTTTAATTCTTCCTACTTCTCCCTTTCGCCCTTGATTCCATTGGACTTGGTTCATCTTTGAATTAACCTCTTTTAATCCATTTCCTACAAAGAAAGCAAATCCATTGTGGGTAAGTAGCTCTGCTGCTCACCACCCAGGCGGTGAAACCACAAGGGAGGGCACGTGTGAGAGCCTCAGCCCCAATAAGGGTGGTGGTGAGGGGGTGGATCCAGCAGATGCAGAGTCTCGCACTACAATCTTGAGCTTCTAGTTTGCTTCTCTGCAGGAGTGTTAATCCAAATTCGTGCGATGCTGAGTGAACTCCATGCCAACACACTGCTAGTGAACACAAGACAGATCTGGCTACTGTCTTAAGCCACTACTGTGAGGGCTTAAGGTGGCCAAAATGAAGATTTATATAATGAATTGATATTTTGTTACATTCTGACAATGGTATGGTTCTTGCCATCTAATCCGTTAATTTGCAAATATTCACAGAATCTCTACTATGTGGCACGGCAACATCCCAGAAGTTATACGAGGGCCATGGTTTTCTGTTTTTGTGTGGTTGCTTATTTTGGAATCTACTGCTTACCCTGGATAGGCGGGAATGGCTGTTGGAGGTACCGCTCGGACCGCACCGTATACCGTCCGCCCCCTGCCCCTCAGGTGGGCTCCTCTGAAAGCGGCCGCCGTGGTGGCTGCAGTTGGGTAAGGGAAGCCAGGAACTAAAGGGAGACCCAAAATACGACAGAAATGCCAACTTGCATTCAACAGCACGTGTACAATCACAGCTTGCTTTGCACCAATTACAGGAAAGACACCTCGACATTACATCTTTTCTCAAAAAGAAATGGAAATATACAATATGCCCAAACTAATTGACTCCATGCCTCATTCATCACAAATCTTGAGTGAGTTTTCTTTGTTCCTTCCCAATTTCGGCCTTACAATGCAAGCTGAGGAGAAACGGTTCAGGAAGCTCTGAGCACTACTGCCATAATGGAGACGAGACTTTTAATTTCTATGGGCAGTTTAAATTGACTGATATAAACTCTTTCACTGGCTAATTATTAACCTTGTTTCCAAACGTTATTACCTGCATATAATAATTATCCTTCATAAGAAAATTCTTTTGTGTTTTGACATGCTGCCACACTCCAAGGCACACAGTAGTCTTCAGACATTTCACTAGTCAACCTTATTCCTTATCTAAAATATTTCAATTCAGAAACGTGAGGTGAGAGGGAAACTACCTTTCCCCTGCAGCCTTGTAATCCTTTAAAGAGGCAGACATTTTCTAAGGGCCTATTTTAAGTGTGCTGTCCTCTAGAAAGCACACAGAGACACTGATGCCATGTCCATTGAACTCTGTTTAATTATATCTCTTGCTAAATGGCTAAATGGCTCAGGTCAAAATGACTTTAGAGATATCAACAGAGCTGAGAATAATCAATAATACTGGAGGGGCTTTTGAGTGATATTCGACTCAAGGGCCCAAAGCTGATTTGCAGATAACATGTACAACACATTCCACAAATAATTACTTCTTTTGTTTTCTTCATTACAAAGTGCAGACTAAAATTTTCTTTACGTGTCCTCACCCCCTTCTAACTTTTCCAACTATTTATGCTTTTTGGCCATCTTAACATTTGGTCAAAAAGATTCTAGCACAGGCTAATTAATAAGCAGGACAGGGCACTGTGACAGTATTTATCTTTCTCGTGAATGCCTCCTTTTCAGTTATGTATTATATTTGGGGGGAAAAAAGACCAACACATCACTGTTTACTCACAACAGTCAAAAGCCATGCCAGGTCAACATAGGCTACTTACTGATTAAAGGAATGTAAGTGTTGATGCCCCCTCTTCCTGACAGGGGTACTGCCGCGTCATTGCCTAGGGACACATCTGCTTGAAAGCTGGATGCTGAGTGCATTTAAGAAATGAAAAAGTGCAAAAAGATTACAAAGGAATAGGAAACTGAAAAACAACAGATTTTTAAAATACATATAAATAACACAAATGGAAAAATTAACTTAAATACTACCTGCATACAACTCGGGCCCATATACAGCTCCAACTACTGGGCTTAATTTCCAACCTGAAACGGAAGAGAGGACAGTAAACATTTAAAACTATATGAAGGGGCTTCCCTGGTGGCGCAGTGGTTGAGAGTCCACCTGCTGATGCAGGGGACACGGGTTCGTGCCCCGGTCTGGGAAGATCCCACATGCCGCGGAGCGGCTGGGCCCGTGAGCCATGGCCGCTGAGCCTGCGCGTCCGGAGCTTGTGCTCCGCAACGGGAGAGGCCACAACAGTGAGAGGCCCGCGTACCGCAAAAAAACAAACAAACAAAAACTATATGAGGAATATAAGGAAAAGGAGTGATGTGCAAGTTGGCTTCAGACACCTCTGGGTTCATTTTTGCCTGGTACCAGCTTCTCTTTAGAATGCCAGTGGGGGTTTACATGAGAGGGTGATGACATTTCTGGACCTGATCATCTTTAAGCAGGACTAGCACAGTGAAAGGATAATGAAGATTTGGCAGGGGAGTGGTGTGGGTAAAGAGGACGTGAGAAAAAAATTGGGAGGTAGCAAGATGGAGAGGGAATGACAGAAGGAAAAAGAAATACAAATAAATCCTGGGGTTTGGAATATGGTCTCTCATAGAATGGCTTAATGACCTAATCTTTGTTTAGAAGAAGGAAAAAGGCAGAATATATATCATTCTCTATCATACTGTGATGCACTATGTTCTATATCATCTTAACACTGTTTACTACTCTAATTGTTTGATAAGGGTATCCTTTGACTGAATTCAAATTTGACCTGGACCTCTGAATTCCATGTTCATTTATACCACGCTAATGGTATTCTGGGTAAATGGAAATCTTCCTTCATTGGGATTTCCCACTGGGATTTCACTGGAGTTAACCAAGGCACCAAGGAGAGATATGCAATGATAAAATTCAAGGTACATTCCCAACTTTGGTGCATGTCTTCTGAGATTTTAATTTGCAATAAGCATATTTACGTTAATCAGACCTTTAAGCTAATGGATACAAGACCGCTGCTGAACATTAACTTAAACATTTATAAATTTTAAGTATTTCCAAACAACATTAGGTTTGATATCAATTTCATTTCTACATTCCCTTTTTTAGATTTATAGGAATATGGCAAGTAGTAAAAAAAAAAAAAAGAAAAATGCACTAGTACCCACTGATAGTTAGAGTAGAATTCCATGTGAAAACTTTAATCAATAAATATTTGTTGAATTTCATACATAAATATGTCATTTTATTTTTCTGAAAGATTGGCTCTTTGGTTTAATTCTTTTATAACATCGTAACATTGTGCCACTGCTTTCAGAATCTCTAACACGGGAGCTGCATGTTTCTAAAGTCTGGCTCCAGTAGGCTTGAATAGTGATTTAGAATAATATTAAAAAATGAACTTTTCCTTTCCTATCAATGGCACTATTACTTAAGCACTCCCTTTAAATGCATACAATGGATGCGCATTATAATAATGGTATATAAAGGTACACTGTCAACAATATCTTGAATACGTTAAGTTTTGTACACTTTACAATGTATTTTTACAGGTGTTTATGTCATTTGACTTTCACAAAACCCAAAGAGAGCGGTAAGATAGGTACCACCTCTGGGACAATGAGTAAGGACACAGTTCCCTGGGCTTCATTTCCTAGCTAATAAGCTAGGAGGGTTGGATTTTAATGACTTCTAAAGAAGAGCCTTGTGGTGCTAAAATTCTGTGACTGCTACTTGACAGAGGTGAAAACAGAATCAGATAGGTTAGGAAATTGGCCCACTGTCACAGAGGAAAATGAAGAGTCAAATCTAGAAGGAGAATTTGTCTTCTCAATTCTAGTCAGCAGCTCTTTCTGCTCCACCATTCTCGCTGGATCGAAAGGAAATCTGACATACTCTCCTTCTGATTTAGTTTAAATTGGATTTTTATCAAAATTGCAGAAACTTCTGTTTCTGTGATAGCAGTGAAAAGAAGAAAACAAAAGGTAAAGTGGAAGGTGGTGGTATCCCAAGATATACCACTAGTAAAATGAGTAAGGAAAATGCCAATTATGCTGATAAATGCAAATTATGCTGATTTCTATAATCTATTTGAAAAGCTGGGCTACACATATTTATTGAAGACCTCCCGGGATATACTCAACACTAAGACACTTCTACTTGATTTAAGATACTACCAGCACATACTGTCATACTCTAGCAGTAGGTTCAAACTTTTATAAAGCAATAAAAGGCGAGAAACTCCCCTTTTTATTCTAGATAAAATCTTATGCACAACTCTAAAATATACAACAGAGAATGAGGTCCACCAAAGTAGAGCTGTAGGCCTCAAGACCCAGTCCATTCAGTTTTCTTTTTCCCCCCACGATGGTCCTGTAGAACACAGCTTGCAAAACCACTGTTGTACAACAGATTAAAATTATATCCCACCTCACTTAGGGAGTATGAGTATAGATTACATTTGACAACTGAAGCAAAAGTTCTGTTTTTGTTAGACAAAATATTCACAGAAAAATTCCTTCTTCATGAGAAACATTTATAAAACTCACTGTATAACAGGTAGCCACGGAATAGAAAATAGAAAATATGCGCGCGTACCCCTCCCCAACACACACACCCCGTGGCTGCTGCCTCTAGACCATTCCTTTAAAAGGAGAACAAGGGGTCAAGAATTATTCCAATTATTATGTTCAGATAAGTAAGATCCAGGGGTATCCTGGACAAGCCTAACATATTACAAAGAACTACAGCAGCTACAAAAAGAGGGTGCCCACGGGGGGCCTAACTTGGGTTAATAGGTAACCTCAAATGATGTGTTCGCACTGTATAAAATGAACTTTACTGAGACTATAACACCTTAATAACTAAAAAAACTTTAAAAAAAAGGTAATTTATAAAAATTAACTCTCCTAGGTAAAGAAAATACTTCAACGTGCATGAAACAAACTGAAGACTGAAATCAAGCAAAAGTCTTTGATGTTTGTGAGAATAAATGACATCTTTCCGAAGATGACTTGTAACCTCTTACCATTTGCATATGGTGTGACCATCTTCTTATTGGTCATTACACGTGCTGTAGCATTATTCACCTACAGATACAAAGTAGAAAGAAGGGGCAGGGAGGAAGTAAACCACATTAGGGAATATGGAGGTGCTCATTCAATAACAAAGTATTCAGTTTAAAATGTAAATTTCAGAGACAACTGATTTAAATAATTAATATAAAATATTAATAATAGTATTTTAATTAAAGTGTTCATTAAATGAGGCTAACAAGAGTAAAATGCAGTTTCTTGGTCTCCAAATGGAAAACTAGGGCAACTTTACCATCCAGTCCTCCAAAGAAAAAGTACATCTGCAAGTTCTTTGGAGATCTTTTAAACAGAGAAGTCTCTGCATTGAGAAAATATGGAAAAAAGTAATTGGAAACAGCTCTGTGTGCACGTGAACTTTGAAGTTCATTAACAAAACAGAGGCTTGCTACATTGCTCAGGAAATAAATTTATAGGAAGATAGGAAAAAAAATCTGTTGAGTTTACCTGTTCTGATGTTCAGCTTTTTTTACATGCTTGTACGAGACTTTACTGTTTGAGGTCAGTAAACAAATATAGGAACTTAGATTCCCATGTTGACAGACTTCAGGACCATTTTGAATTTTCTAGATTATGTGGCCTATTCATTTAAGAAGAAAGTTTTCAAGAGGCCTTTAAATCAGGCACTTAAAAGAATTCAAAAAATAAAGCTTATGTTTCTTTTGTTTTATGGTACTCTCTACCCTCATTACAGAACGGCATAATTAAAGCATTCTCAGTGGTAAGGTAAGTAGACGCTACAAAGATGGTGCTGATGAAGAAAAGATGAATGGAGCTTAGAAGCCAGGATACTGCAGCCCAGTGTCAGAACCAGCCTCAAAGCTCTTGCAAGGAGGGTAAAGCCTTACCATAGAACCTGGTTATATACTATGTTGTCAGGTATATAAAAACAGGCCAGTTTTTAAAAGAATTATAAAACATACAAAATATAATATGTCTTACTTCGCTCTGGGAATTTATGTTAAATTTGAATAGTGATAAATTTGTTACCAAAAAAAAAAAACCACATCAATTTTAGGTAGAATTGGAACCAAAAATGTTTTAATAATATGTCTTTCAGGATTTGTATAGTGATGATCTTCCTATGTGAGGAAAAGAGTTGGAAACTCCATTTACTCTAGTTTGACCCACCAAATCATATCAACATTTCACATTTAAAAGAAAGAATGGGATACAACAATGATGAGACTGAGAGCATGCAGTTAAAAAACACACACACACAAATAAAAGAAAGAAAAAAACAATCAATTTTGGAAAGACAGGAGAAAGTGAAGAGCGAGGCTCTCACAGACAAGGATTAGAATGGGGCAAGAGCTTCCACTAGCTGCTAGAGCAGAAAGCACCCAAGCACTTAAAGGAAAAATGGCCAGAACCAATCAGAAACCACCAGTCAGCAAAAGAGACCAATAGCTGCACAGAACAGAGAAGGGGTGGGGAAGGACTAGGGCAAAGGGTAGGAAGACAGCTTGGGTAAGGAGAACAAAAAAGCGGGGAAGAGAAGAGAGAAAGTCAGGAAGGCTGTCACGGGCAGGAGAGAGAGCCGTCAAGGGCAAAGAAAGAACAGTCATAGCTACAAACAGAGGTCTGGGAAAGAGGAAAAGGAGGAAAGGAAGTGGGGGCAGGAAGTGCATTAATAAAACCAGCCAAACTGGAGTTCAGTAACTCTGAGTAAGATGTGCAAGGGGAAAAAATCACCATGACGTCAGTACTCAAACAGCTCAGACTGCTACAAAACAATGTGTACATCCAAAGTCCAGGCGGCATTACTCAACAGCATTGAAAATAAAAGGGGGAAAGGAAAAGGAAGAGGAGCAAGTCAAATCACATTTTGTAGTGTTAATGTGAGATGGCAGATGGACTTTTTCTTTCTTATTTGTTTGTAATTACATTTTAAAAAAGCTTCTTCTCTAGTGCTTTTGTTTCACTTACCGCCAACGGGCACCATCGCCAGCATTGTGTATAGTTACCATGGAAAGAGTGAGTCAAGTGAAGGGCCCTAAATGCTAAACCATTGGAAAGGGAGGGGGAAAAAAAAGCAAAATATGCAGACATCTTACTCAAGATGGTGGCTTTTATATTTCATACTTTTAAAAACTGGGAAAGGGGAAAGGAGCCAGTTAACCTTCACTGCGTTATGAAAAGGGCTGTTGAGCACCAGGTGGCCGACTCACTCACAGTACTAGTACTTTCTCCAGGCAGCCACCCAACCCTCTGTTGGAGGATTTTATCCAGTAACTGTTGAAATTCTAGATATTAAATATATTTAAAAACCACATTAGTTTTGGATTCTTTCCTCCCTGCCCCGAACCTCTATGATCTTCTATTCCTTACTTCTCACACGCATGTGGAGGCGAACTGGCCTCCCAAGAGAGAGAGGATATTGGCTGGCCCCTTGATTCATTATAGGACACATTTCTAAATTGGGTAGTTTTTAGACATTTTAAAAGTTAGTTTTATTTTGGCCTGATTAGAGGAATTCAGAGTCTCGCAAACTGAAGCAAAGGAAAAAAATCAGGAGAGTAGAAGGATGAACATTTTGGAGGAAAAAAGTAAATGAAAAACAAATACACATACATCCGCACACAGGTAAATCAAAACTAAAACCCCAAAACAACCAAAAAATGGGAGGGAGGGGAGAAGGATAGAAGTGTTACTTTTACGCGTTTTGGTGCAAGAAGGTAAAGGACACAGAGACACAAAAACACGAACAAGACAGGGTTCCAAATGTGAAATAAGTGAGGCAATACATAAAGAGAGAAATAAAAATATAAACCAGAAATTGAATTATTGAAGACATGCACCTCGATTTTACGGCCCTCTACCACGGTGCCGTGTAATTTCTCCCTGGCCCTGTCTGCATCAGCACTATTCTCGAAAGTTACGAACCCGAATCCCTGCATGCAGCGGGAGAAGGGGGGAAAACATGCACATCGTTATATTGAAATACTGATCTCTTGGTAAATAGAAAAAAAATATCACAGTATGAAACTGACATCAGCAACAACTCAGCAATACTCTCCCAAAGTCACGTTTTCGGTCCATGCATATTTTGTAAAGGGAAATTAAATCCAAGAAAAGAATAAAGAACTCTAGTGGTAGTGATAATAATAATAATAATAATAATAATAATAATAATAATAATGTAATTAACAACAATAAAAACAATAATAAAATAAAACATAAAGCATGTGAGGCCAGACCAAAATTAAGGTATAGAGTTACTCGGGTCAAACTATTCAACTGAGAATCTGAACATTTTAAAAAATCCTACCTTTCTTATTTCATGCTGCTAACATACATATCCTTTTATATAATACTAAAAATAATTAAATCTATTATTCCCCAGTAACTTCTACATGAAACTTGATATTTAGGTGCAAACCTTGTATAATGAGTTTTTGAGGCGGTCTAATCGTTTTAGCCCCACTTTGCCTGTTGCTTACAGCACCATCAACTTCTCTGGGAACAGTATAATTTAAGATATAGTGTTCATGATTGATTCTGTGGGTACTGGGTGTGGAAGAGGAGAGCACTCATGTTTGTCTAAGCAAACGAAAATACCACTAAGCAGTGGTCAATTATGACTTTTCTTCAATGCGAATTTTAAACAACCAGTCTGACACTCAAGAGTAAAATTATGTTCAGCTGAATTTCAGAAAATTGCTTACCCAAATTTGCCTAAATTTTGTTGAAGCCTACATCTGCTACTAAATGTATTAGTTTTTTCTATACGCAGAGAGAAAAAGGAATAGTCAAAAAGGCAATAGGAATGAGATCTATGTTAGTGACATCAATTGCATACTATTTAATAGGAAACGAATACCATAAAACAGCAATACAGATGCTACTCTGAGTTAGGATTAATTTGTCCATTGTAGATGCTGAAAAACAAACAAACAAACCATGGAGTTTTAATTTATTAAACAGAAAAAGCAGGAGACCGGGATTTAACCCACTCTACTCCTTGGCTCACATTAAATCTGAAAAGACTGCCTGGGTCATTATCATTCTATCAATTTCAACACCAGCAGGATTTACCATATACTATAGGACTATTTGACAAAGCATTATATCAGTTTCATTCTAGGTGCTCTGTCCTTATCTTTCCACTCTGCAACTATAAAATTTTCTCAAGCTATTTATATCTGTAGAGTGGTAACTTCTTAGAATTTTCTGAGACAGTCCTCATGTCTCAATAGCTTCACTGTCTCTCTAGCATTCTTTGAATATTCCATTGTAGGATAACATGAACCTTTATTTTCACTGAAGTTCTGCTTTGCTGCTTATCAATACCATGAGTACTCCTATATATACAAAACATATTTTTAACTGAGATGGTAAATAATGTGCATTGCTCAATCAGATTTTATAAAAGCAACTCCATCATTCTGAAGGATCTGATTTCTCAGCATTTAAATGACTATATGGTTGGGTGGCAATCCATGGAGGATTCCAATGGATTATCTCTACCTTCAATTTGATATCTAGAAAGTGAAATGCTAAGCTGACAAATTTTGAAAAATACATGTAGCTTAGGACGGAATACTATGGGTAATTTTAATTCAAAATGTTCCTTAAAAATGTACATGTGTTGAAAATATCAATGGGAACACATTTTCAGAAACAAATTTTGATATCAACATGTTATAGCCACTTTGACAACTCAAGGTGTACAAGGGCAAGTTACTAATTAATTATTCCATCTGTCATCTACGCTAGCATCTGATGAAGACAAGAAGCCAGCTATCCGATCCTGGAGAATCCTTCAATAGGAAAGTTAAACCTTTTAAAAAAGGTTACAGGGCTTCCCTGGTGGTGCAGTGGTTGAGAGTCCGCCTGCCGATGCAGGGGACACGGGTTTGTGCCCCGGTCCGGGAAGATCCCACATGCCGCGGAGCGGCTAGGCCCGTGAGCCATGGCCGCTGAGCCTGTGTGTCCGGAGCCTGTGCTCCGCAACGGGAGAGGCCACAACAGTGAGAGGCCCGCGTACCACAGAATAAATAAATAAATAAATAAATAAAAATAAAATAAAAAAAGGTTACAGATAGTGATGAGTTTTTATATCACATTTTATAAGTTCTATAAGCTGTATTTCAACTGACTGTCACAGCCTTATACATTTTATGCCCTGGGTTAAATTAATAAATTATAAACTAGTGGCTTGACAGCAGATTATGTAGAGGCTAATATACAAGTTTTTAATTTTAGCATTATGACTACACACACCCACATACATACACACATACTTGTGTGTCTTTTAAATGCACCCATGGGGTAGAAAGGATAAACCTGTTGGTTTCCTTTTGAAAGTAAAAACATTGAGCCAATCTGAGGTTAAGTATTCAAGCATCAACAAAGCCCAGAGCACCAACAAGGTCTTCTTCCTTCCATGTAGCTTTTTCCTACAACTAATGGTGAGAAAATTAGAAATTAAGCTTTGAAACCAAAATTCAGTATTCTATTTACTAAACTATATTAGTCCTACAATTCTTCTAATTTTCTCTTTCAAAGCTAATTGCTAAATGTGTTCTATGACCCTTCTTTCTGTAATGTGTTGACGGACCATCTGTGACACAATAGCTGTGTGGTATCATAAGTGCTAGCATCTTACAGTCAGCATATGACAAAGTTTAACATTAAAGTCTGCTTGTGTAAGATTTTTTTCAATATAACTTCAGTATTCTGGAACAAAATTCACGTTTAAATGCTTTAAAAGCGTTTTATAAGGAAAGGTGCTTATAAACTAAAGGAAATGCTAATCAAGATATCAAAGACATAAAAATGAAGCAATCTTTTTTTTTTTTGTGGTACGTGGGCCTCTCACTGCCGCGGCCTCTCCCGCTGTGGAACACAGGCTCCGGACGCGCAGGCTCAGCGGCCACGGCTCATGGGCCCAGCCGCTCCGCGGCATGTGGGATCCTCCTGGACCGGGACACAAACCCGTGTCCCTTGCAACGGCAGGTGGACTCTCAACCACTGCACCACCAGGGAAGCCCCAAAATGAAGCAATCTTTGCAGGCATATTTACTAGCGTAAAGAGGAGGCAGAAGGCCTTGTTGATACTTTGGGACTCCTGATAAGAAACACAGAGGTAATAGGATTTCTTTCTTTCCTTCAAAGATAAATAGACCTTGTGTCAGGCAGAATAACAGCCCCCCCCCCAAAGTTGTCCATGTCCTAATCCCCAGAACCTGTAAATATGTTAACTTACATGGCAAAAGGGATTTTGCAGATGTGATTAAATTAATGATCTTGCGATAGGGAGATTATCCTGGATTATCCAGATGAGCCCAATGTAATCACAAAGGTGCTTAGAAGTGAAAGAGGGAAGGAGAGTCAGAATTGGAGAGAGTAGCAGCCTGAGAAAGGCTGGGCTGGCTGTTGCTGGCTCTGAAGATGAAAGGGGGGCCAAGGAATGTGGGCTGCCTCCCAAAGCTGGAAAAGGCATGCAATGGAGCATCCCTTAGAGCCACCTGAAGGAACACAGCCCTCCAACACTTTGATTTTAGCCTAGTGAGACCCACTTTGGACTTCTGACCTCCAGAACTGTAAGATAATAAATCTGTGTTGTATTAAGCCACCAAGTTTGTAATAATTTGTTCAGAAGCACTAGGGAATGAGTATATACCTCTCAGAATTAAGGTCTGTGATTAGGAAGACGAGAAGCATAACCAGTATTTTTGGAGTACTATCCTTAGATACTTTTCTCTTGACTTGAAACTTCAAACAGGTGGTTTTCCATCAACTCAACTTCCTCCTTGCTTATCTGTCACATTTACAACTTGGTTTTAAGAATATTAACTCAAATAAGGCTTGAAAAAAATTTTCATGTACTGTTTCTACAATAAAATTTAGCACTTTTGAAAATGTGCCAGAAATTGAGCCAAGGATATTCACAGACTTAAAAAGTTACTAATAGGAAAACTCTCTTCCACGAAATTATGTTTAATGTTCCCTTATTCTTGGAAATCTAATTCACATTAATTCTGGTCATTTGGATCTCTTGCTTTGAAAAAAATTTAATACAATTATGTCTAAACCTAACACATTTTCCTTAGAAGAGCTTCAAAATGATCAAACAAGGTACCAAAAAGGGAAACATAATAACAGTCTGAATAGCTACAAAGTCAGACCCTTAACAGTACATGTTTCAGGTATGTAAGAAGATAAACAAAAGATAAACAAAAAGTAAACTTTCATTTTTAAATTAAAAAAAATGATGTTGCAACATTTGTCTGTACCAGCACCATCCAATAAAACTATAGCATGAGCCACATATATAATTTCAAATTTTCTATTAGCTACATTAAAAAAGTAAAAACAAGTGAAATTAATTTCAAATAATGTATTTTATTTAACCCAGTATATACGACATATTATAATTTCAACATGGCATCATTATGAAACCATTATGAGTGAGATGTTTAATATTCTTTTTGAGCTAAGTCTTTGAAATTGGTGTCTATTTTACACTTAAAGCACATTTCAATTTAGAGATGTGCCACATTTCAAATGGTCAGCATGGTCGCTGCACTGGGCAATGAAGGTCTACACCTTTACACTCTTACCTAAAGTTCTCAGCTCCCAAAGTTCTTCTATGTTAACAATTTAAATGCACCAGTGCTACATTCACAATTTACCAGCTATCTTAGTTGTCTTTTGGAAATTGAGGGATGCTGTGTTTATCAGGTACATGGTCGTGGTTAAAACTTCTACAGAGTGTGACAAAAATTTTATTATCTGCCTTGACATCCATTTGTCATCAAGGGCACACAGGAGCCGAATAACTGTCACCTTTTTAGTCTGGCCTCAGACTGCAGTAAATAACAAGCAACAGGATGAGCATTGTAAAAATATTTTTAAATTTGTATAATCTTTGAATTTTTCCATCTCAGAAGAATGAGAAAGAAAATTTACCATGGAACTTTTAAGGGAGAAATCAAAACCAGAAGGTTCTCCTGGGTATGGCCAGAACACAGAAATTAAAAAATAAATAAAAGAAAAATAAAACTAAAACCCATAAAATGGTAGCAAAAGAAAATAAACTAAGACTTTTGGAAATACATGCACTGTTAATTCAGTTTTAAGTATAATGAAAAACATTTCATCTCAGCATTACCCATCAAATTTTACTGAAAATCACAAAGGCTTACTCAGTGCAATTTCAAAGACAGTCTTTTGACTATATTTGGAAAGAAATAATTTCCCTTTGCATAAAATCAAAAGCCAGGGAAATAGGAGAGAAATTACAGCATATTTCTTGTGTCTGAGGAGTGGGAATAGAGGTTTTATCTTCCCTAACTCCAGCCTAAACATAAGCTTAACCCAAACCCAGATTACCATCATTCCAGAAATCCACCTGAGAGAAGTAATGCAAACACATTAACCAAAAATCTGCTAGAAATCTCAATAATTATTGCTGTGCTCTATTCTGCAGTCCTTTAGAGGACTTAGCAATTGACACTGTGTGAAGAAGAGCTTCCATACATTCAATATTTATAAAACGTGTCCCTTCAAAAGTGACAACTATATTCAAAGTATGTTGATAAAACTTTATGGAAAATATAAATGTTAGAATCTTTGTATTTCTTTTTAAAATAAGCTTGATAATTATCACAAACAAAATGTTATGGGGGCTTCCCTGGTGGTGCAGTGGGTGAGAGTCCGCCTGCTGATGCAGGGGACACGGGTTCGTGCCCCGGTCCAGGAAGATCCCACATGCCGCGGAGCAGCTCGGTCCATGAGCCATGGCCGCTGAGCCTGCGCGTCCGGAGCCTGTGCTCCACGATGGGAGAGGCCACAATAGCGAGAGGCCCGCGTACCGCAAAAAAAAAAAAAAAAAGTTATGGGACTGGGTGATAGTGAACAGGATGGTGGAAGGTCTGAATTTCAACAGTGAAATAAACTTTTGAAAACAACAAGTGCTCAGTTACTAAGTGTCTAGCAGACAATACAAGGTCAAGAGTATTGGTTGTTGAACTAGGTGACCACTGTTCAGTGTTCTGTTTAAGATTCTATGTGAGAATATGTGAGAAAAAAGGAAGGAAATACATGAGAATATTGTGAATAATGCATTTAATGAACTATATGCTTTTCCCCCCTACTTCTCATTAAACGTCATGTTTTCCTTTTATAATGGTTTTTAAAAGGGTACTTTTTAAAATTGTTACTCAAAGGATCTATAAGGAGAATGACAATATAATTTATTGTTTAAACTAGGATACTTTGAGGGAGAAAGGGGACATTATTAATTGCTAAGACAAGTATAAATTGGGACTATCCTGGATAAACCAGGATATACGGCCACTCTCCCTATACACTAACTTCTTATTGTTTGTATTACTACTTTGTCACGACTGGTGAAATTTGGAGAATCAATAATGCTATGCATATCTGTTTAATCATTTTCTAGATTCTATATGAGTACATTAGTTAACTTTTTGGAAGGGGTATCATTTTTCATCACATATCTTAATTAAACATTTTCAAAAGGATAGTCTATCTTTGCTTCAGTTAATCACAGAAAACTAAATACAGCTGACTTTATGTTTTTACAAAGGAGTAGGGAGTAAAAAGAACATTTTCAAAAATCACATGAAATTATTTAAATAAATATGTATGTATGTATATGCATGTAAATGAAATAAATTCATTTCATAAAAACCAAATTCAGAATATGAAGGTCAAAGAAGAAAAAAGGAAAATAGTCAACAACAAGGAAACAACTACTTTCTGGAACACAGAAATTCTACTCTCCAGGCAAGGTGGAAAGGTAGACTACTAGCAGGCAGGGAAGGAATGGGCATGCAGCAAGACAGTGTTCACTTATGTTTTTAAGGGGGTATATTCTCAAACCCGGGGCCAACGATCTCATAAAAAATAAGACATGGTAATAAAGAGTTGCTTTTTGTTTTGCAGTCACTTGGTTAAATACTGTTTTACATGTAAGTATTACTTATCTCTAAAAAGGTGTTTTTCCATTATTGCTTCAGAAAAAATTCAATAAAGCTAATTTCTGTACAGAAAAGCACTCTGTTAAAAGACTGAGCAATTCTTAGCTAAACAACAGGACCATATAAGTCTCCTTTTCTCTGGCTCCTTTCAAGACATGTTGTAATTTTACAGTCAACCCCAGACACAAAAGTAACGAGAAACTAAACTTAATTTACAAAAAGAAAAGTACTCATTAATTTATCTCAGGTGGATCCCAGAAGACGCATCTAGGTTTTGACTCCAAAATAAATCTCTATTAATGAGCCCATTCCAGCTAAGAACTTTAGGTAGCAGTTAAGAAGGGCAAAGGATGAAGACAGGTTTTTGTACCAGTTCTAGAAGGCAGGTCCAAGGCAATTCTGAATTCTGTGCTTTGTTTTAAAAACATTTTCCAATTAGTACACAGTCTGTCTACCCTTCAGCAGCCCAAAGAAAAAAGGGCAGTGAGGACACAGCATCAAGCTGAGAGAGGCAGCATATACTTTTAGATTCCCCGAAGAGAAAAGGAAGGCTTGTGTCATTTTAAAATGGAAATTACAGGGGAGGAGTAATTGAATCAGGTAAATTAAAAACTTTTTGGTAGTAGGCAAATCCTTGAAGTCAATGAAAGAAGCCTTAGAAAGATCAATTTCCTTTGCTTCACAAGAATTCAATCAAATTATTTTCTTGGTAAGGAGCAAAGTCCTCAATGCCTGATAGAATTTTATTGGGCTTCCAGTTGTTACTCTAGCTAAGAATGTTTTAAGTGCAAACACTTAAAACCAAAAACATTTAAACCACTGGTTCAGATAAACAGTGTGGTCAATAATCTTCATGTATTTATTTCACATTCATGTGCTTCTCATCTCTAAACCATTGTCATTTTTCTACCTTGTATCTAAAAAGTTCACAAAAAAATAACAGCAAGCTATACAACAAAAGAATAGAAATCCACTGTGAGGAAATTACAAGTATAAACAGTTTTACTGGTTACAGTTTGAATAGATTTCACTTTAAAAATACTTACCAAGTTAAGTGCTGGAGAAAGTTCTGTATAGGCATAATTAATCTTTTTTTGTTTTAACTGAAAACTGAAAGCTTAGAGTATAATTACCTCTTTAATAATTAACAAATAATTATTATAGTCAGAATTAAATACTTTTAGTGTTGATGCATTCTATAAAGGAAGGGAATAATAATCAGAAGCATTAGGAAAGCACAAACATTTTTATTAGTACAGATGGGGGCAGGAAGTATATATAACTCTGTAGATATGTTATTAGTTCCCAAAGTATGGTGAATTTGGAGTAGGAAATTAAGAGAGGTAAATATTAGCTTATTTATTTACTTTATTTAGCTCTTCTCAAATTACATTCTTAAGAGATTTAATCATAGCTAAGAGCTATTTTCAAAATTCAGTAGGGATGACCAAATGAAAATTAATTTCAAAAACTGGTCTAACCTAAAAATGCAAGTAGAACTGAACATAGCAAGGTAAATATTTACAAGCCTGCCCACAGCTGATTGTGTCTGTGGAGTGTATTCCATTTGTTGAGGAAGAAGAAAACTCTCACATAAAACTTTCTGAAATTCAGTTCATCAAATATTTTTTCACAACACCATTTGTAACACTTTACAATTCCTTCATTCCTAAAAGCACTGCTGCTTATTTTAGTGCATAAAAATTCTAAATCATACAGATTGGGAATTTAAAACAGTAAATTATTATGTTCATCCTCATGCAAAAAACCCCCAACTCACTGTATTTGTAATTGAAGTGACTCTCAGTCCTGAAGCTTGCCTATCTGGGTATAACTTAAAGGAGGAAATCCACAGTGAATACCTGAGTCACTACCCCCTGTTTTCAAGCTTTATCAGAATTTACTGAACACAGAGAACAAGTCAACTGAATAACTGAAATATTAAATTTGTTCTAAGTACGTCACTTTGAAGTTCAATTTTTAAAAGCTGAACTGTTCTGGTAGAATTCAGACTAGAATTCTCACAGAATTTCACTTTTTTCCAGTCTTCTCTCTCGTCCTTTACAATAAGAAGCTTAGGCCAAATTTAAATCTGAGAAAGGACTGACATCTCCTACAGCCTTTCTTCCTTACGGCCACACTCTCCCCTCAAACCTCTCTCGTTTCTACACCATCACTCTCCCAATTTAAGAAAGATTTAGGAAAAATTTGGCCACGCAGTGGCTTATGTTTAGAGGTAATCTAATCAAGCTAGATCATTGGGATACTTTTTGCAGGCTTGAAAAACAGCTTAAATTTTCTGACTATCTACTATTTTAAATAAAACAAAACTAAAAGAAACCAAGCACACAACACTGAAATGGAGCTTACCTTAGAGCCACGTTCATTAAAGATTATTTCTACATCTAGGATTTTGCCAAACTGCTGCAGAGACAAAAATAAAAACATTTACTCATGTTCAGCTTTTTATCCATATACTTTACTTTCTTCTGAAAGAGGAAGAGGTGGTTTTTTTTCTTTAAACTACTTATTTAACATCCATGTTTCTATTTGTTGGTAGGTCCCAATATCAGTTGTTGATTTTTCCTCATCATTGAGCTGATAATTTTTCCTTTTTTAATTCACTCACTCATGCATTATTCACCTCTTTATAGTGGAAGCTGTTTTCACAAGTTATTCACAGCGTCACTGTATTACATGCTTCTTCACATGGACAAGAACTGGGGGTTTTCCTACCTACATCTCTAACTTTTGAAATCATAAGTAGAAAGATATACTATTGATGGCTGTTTTTCTTCCCTTTCTTGTTTTGTTGGGCCACGCCTCCCACGGCATGCAGGATCTTAGGTCCCTGACCAGCGATAGAACCCATACCCCCTGCAGTGGAAGCTCCGAGTCTTAACTATTGGACCAACAAGTAAGGCCTTCCTTTTTTTTTTCTTTTTAATTAATAAAAGTAAACCACATTTACTGGAAAAAAAAGTAGAAAATATAGATAAACAAAAAGGAAAAGGGAAAAGAAAAAATGAAGATCATCTGCAATCCCAACATCTTAACATTTTGGTACACAGCCTTGCCAGCTTTTCCTTAGGCGTGTGTGTGTGTGTGTTTACTTTTCTTAAACTTAATATACTATGAATAACTTTCCAAATCAATAAATATATATGTGTTATCTCTATAGGCTACATGCTATTTTCCAGCATACCAAACATTCATGGACATTATGGATGATTCTATCGATATTTATTTGCCACTTCAATATTTCTGCAATAAACATCATCTAAAATATTTAAAATAATAACTTTGTTTCGAAATTAGTTAAATATTTTAACATTTGGAAAATCAAACAAAGCTAAAAACACAACACCTAAATAACTCTATTGCTAGGTAGCTAAACAGCTGATTAGAGGGGCATACAAATAACACAGTAATTATTTGGAGGAGAGGTATATATAAGGTGATAAAACTACCTGTTTTAATCAATACCTGAATGAACTGAATTGAGGGAATGTGCAGTAAATCTCCAATATCTTTTTGGCTCACATTTCCCTTTGAGAACTAGACTCACAGACCCAATTATCTTTTTCACTTGGATTTCAAACTAGACTTTGGGAAATGTGAAGAAACTAAAAAACGAAAAGAGCAAAACAGAGATCATGTTTTCTTATTGGGTTGAATCATTACTATCTTTATCAAAAAAACATGTATTAAGAGCCCAAGTTTTCTAGAGTTAAGACTTCTGGACTTGATTCCAGTTTCACCATTTAATAGAAAATCAGAAAAATCAAGGGAAGAGGAAAATGTCTTATTTTAGGAAGGAGGGCATTTTATTTTATTTCTCTGTCTATCCAAAAAACTGAAATTTGTATGGTATTTTAGAGTTTGTTTTCTTTTACATTTTCTAATTCATCTTTATAATAACCTTCCAGAGTAAGAACTGGTTAAGGAAAATGAGACTAAAAGAAGGTACTCATCAAGTTTGCAGAGGTAATAAAATGGAAATAAAGTAGAACATGGAATCTCTGCTCTTTACCAATGCTACTGTCCTTCTAAATACTGATAGGTACTAACTACATGGAAGAAGACAGCAACCAGGTATGGACATACTCTCTCTAAGTGCAATGAAAATTTTATTTTTTTTTGCACTTAGTGTCTTATGAGAAGGGCATTATACATTTCAAGAAATCACTGACAACTGGCCTAGGCAGATCTTTAGTGGACACTATTTTTCTGCCTCAACAGAGAAAACACTTCTGACAGATGAGGATGCATTCCATTTTCACAGACCTCCAGAGATTAAGGTTCCATATTATCTCTGATAATTCAGTAGAGAACCTAGTAACTCATACTCCTGGGAAGTTTCTTCTTAAACATAACCCAAATTCTTTTTTCTTTTCAAATTTATTTATTATTTGTGGCTGCACTGGGTCTTCGTTGCTACATGTGGGCTTTCTCTAGTTGAGGTGAGCAGGGGTTACTCATTGAGGCAGTGTGCAGGCTTCTCATTGCGGTGGCTTCTCTTGTTGTGGAGCATGGGCTCCAGGCACGCGGGCTTCAGTAGTTGTGGCTTGTGGGCTCCAGAGCACAGGCTCAGCAACTGTGGCGCACAGGCTCAGTTGCTCCACAGCATGTGGGATCTTTCCGGACCAGGGCTCGAACCTGTGTCCCCTGCACTGGCAGACGGTCTCCCAACCACTGTGCCACCAGGGAAGTGCCATAACCTAACTTCTTTATGTTGCCCTTTATATTTTCTGTTGCTCTCTTTTCTGTAGAGCTGGGGAATAGCTGGTTACCATTTCATGTTGAAAAGCTCTTCCAGTGCTTCAAAAATACCATTAAATCTCAACCCTGGCCTTGCCTTTGGTGTAGAAAACACATCCAGGAAGTCAGCTGTAAGTGACAGAACTCTGCTCCAGGGTCTTGTCGCCATGAAGTGGCCCCAACCGAGACTTAAAGAAGGGCATTTGCTTTTCTGACAAAGCATTAGGCTGCTATCCAAATAATTAAAACAAAAATCAATGATTTCTTACTCCTAGTTCAAGTTAAGTGTTTGATCAAATTAAAACAGGCAACAACACCTTAGCCCAAAAAAAGAATGAAGATTCTCAGTAGCCATTCATTTCTGAGTAACTTAAATATTTGCTATTATACTTCGTTTTCATGACAGCGATGCTGGGAGGAAGTAAACAGCTGGAAGAACATGCCAGGCAGCAAACTAACCCCCTATACCTGATTTTAGATCACAGATATTATTTTACTTAACTCATAACCCTTTGAAAGGCAGGGATTACTGTCTTGTCCTGATTTCAGTGCTTGGGTTTTCTGAACGTCCTAAGAAACCCCTCAGTCCCAGGCAAACTGGGTTGTGGAGTCATCTTATGTATGTGAGAATTTGCAAGGATAATGTCTAGAATAGGCCAGGAGATGGGAAAGTTTCTAAAGGCTGATGAAAATAATGATTTACCTCAGGATCTTTCTCAATATACTTGTAATTTTATCCTAAAGTAGTAATGACTAATAATACATCTGGTGAGTTAAAGTATATTTTCATTGTAAAACCATAAAAGGCCTTCAGAGACTTACCCCAAACATCTGCCGGAGGTCAGGATCCCGGAAGCGGAAAGGAATATTAGAGACATGCAGGCGTTTAGGGGTAGATTTACTCTCTGAATTTTCACTGCTTTGCGTCTGTGACTGCTGGCCTTCTGTCTGTGCGCCCCCTTCTGTCTGCTAAGCAAAGAAATAAACAACATTAAGGGAGAAATAAATACAATTATTTCACAAGAATTACATAAAATAATTGAAGTCCTCCCCCACCCCAATCATTCTCAAACAGTGTGTCTTTAAGCAAAAATTACAGCTGTCCTTTCGAAGAGAAAAAAGCCAAAGATGTTATCTGTGTTCAAAATGCTATAGTTTACCAAAAAATTTAGGTCTTTTGCATATTTATAGTACATTAGTAAAGTGGGAGATACTAGAAACACTAAGTGACTTGCTCAAGATCACATGGAGAGGAACTTCCCTGGTGGTCCAGTGGTAAAGAATCCACCTTACAATGCAGGGGACGAGGGTTTGATCCCTGGTCAGGGAACTAAGATCCCACATGCCATGGGGCAACGAAGCCCATGGGCCACAACTACTGAGCTCACGCACTACAGTCCACGTGCTGCAAACTACAGAGCCCATGCACTCTGGAGCCCAAGGGCCACAACTACAGAGCCCTTGTGGCCTGGAGTCTATGTGCCTCAACTAGAGAGGAGAAAACCCACACACCACAACTAGAGAGAAGCCCATGCACAACAGTGAAGAGCCTGCGTGCTGCAACTAAGACCTGATGCAGCCAAAAAAATAAAATAAAATAAATTAAAAAAATGAAGATCACATGGAGATACATTAGGAAAACAAGATATAAAAATAGTACATTGGGACTTCCCTGGTGGCACAGTGGTTAAGAATCCACCTGTCAATGCACGGGACACGGGTTCGAGCCCTCGTCCGGGAAGATCCCACATGCGGCGGAGCAACTAAGCCCGTGCGCCACAACTACTGAGCCTGCACTCTAGAGCCTGTGAGCCACAACTACTGAGACTGCGTGCCACAACTACTGAAGCCCGCGTGCCTAGGGCCCGTGCTCCGCCACTGCAATAAGAAGCCCACGCACCGCAACGAAGAGTAGTCCCCGCTCACCGCAACTAGAGAAAGCCTGCATGCAGCACCGAAGATCCAACACAGCCATAAATAAATAAACAAACAAATAAAAAGAATAATAAATTAAAAAATAAAAATAGTACTTTGTTCTTAGATTCTTATAGAACTTCCTTTTTTTTTTTTTTGCGGTGCGCGGGCCTCTCACTGCTGTGGCCTCTCCCCCTGCAGAGCTCAGGCCCCGGACGCGCAGGCCCAGCGGCCCTGGCTCACGGGCCCAGCCACTCTGCGGCA